CCCCCCCCCCTTGATATCTTTACTTTCTTTACCAGTATTACAGTATATAGTAATTAAAATTTTAAGTAGGGAATAATACTGAAATTAAATTATAGTTTACTCATAATTAAAATGGAAAATGAGAATAAGGTTCCAAATTACTCCCAAAAGACTCTGCAGTAGTAGTTGCATGTTGCATTAATTGACATAAATACCACACATATAGGCAACAGTATGGAGTAAATTTTGTAATATCTATGGGTATTCTTTACTAGATCCTTGGTAGGAAACAGGAAAGATGTAATTTTGTTTCTAGTAGATAATACAGGTGAAAACTGGAACAAATACACTATCAGATCATATGCAAGCTGAAGACATTATAGAACAGTTAAAAATTCATTCAGTCATGAGATATATGCGCAATTACCACGCTAACTGGAAACAAATTATAAGAACAAAATACCAAAACAGATTATAGTGTGTCACATTACCTTAGGGGAGTAGGGGCCGCGCCTTAGCTCAAGCGGTTAGTCACTGGTTTCCCACCGCGGTGGGCCGGGTTCAATCCCAGGTCTGGTCAAGTGGGATTTGTGGTGGACAAAGTGGTGCTGGGGCGGGTTTTCTCCGAGTACTTCGGTTTCCTCTGTCAATCTTCATTCCACTGATTGCTCCACGATCACCCTCACCTATCATCTGGGTCTGGTACAATAGGCCAGAAGTGGCCGCCATGCCAAGTGGACCCAGTTGGACTCCACCCCCCACTAAGCGAGTTAAAAGAAATCAATTAAAAAACTAGGGGAGTAAGACATTTAGGAAGAGGACTGAAGAGATTATATGAAACAGGTCACATGGCCTAATACCTGGCAGAATGATGAAATGTAATTAAATTTAAGTGCATACAAATGCTGCTGTCTTTAAGGTTGGAGATGATGTGCGTCAGGACATGCTGGCATTGCAAGTCATTGGGATATTCAAGAACATTTTCCAGCAAGCTGGATTGGATCTGTACCTATTCCCATATCGAGTGGTTGCAACTGCACCTGGGGTAAGTGTGGGTACTTACTAAGCTTAAGAATTGAAGAAGGTGGAAGAGGTTTCTGAAGCACAAAAAGCTTACATTCTGGTTCAGAGGTGCAGTATTTGGTCAGAGTACTTTCGTTCATTTTCACAAAGTGTATGAAATTTGAAAATAATGGAAGATTGTGTTTGTTCATCCATCTGACTGAAAATTCATCTCTGTAATTAGTTGACAGCGTTCAGTGAAATTTGATAATAAGAGGATCTGTACTGCAAGTTTTCAGGTAAATTTAATTTATTCCCTAATTTATATGGTACCCAAATTTAATTGTGTTGATTTTTTAAAAAGATTCACCAAAAAAGTTACATGGCATAAAATGTAGAGTTTATTAAGAACTGCATCATTTATTTTAAATATTTATGTATTGAATATTTAATGAAATGCAAACACAAATGGTATCTGGATGACATTTGAGGTTCTAATGACTGAAAATTTAGTGTAAGGTATTCTTGGTTATGATGTCATGAAGTTAACGTTAGTTACCAATGTTTCAGAGGAATCTGCTGCCTCCAACTTCACTGTAGGAGTAAAGATTGAGGCAGCAGATTCCTGTAAACCTTAATAAACCATATGGTGTCCTAACCAAAAGACTGCAACCCTAGAAAAACCACAGTATGTCTGGCTATAAAGTGTGACATTTATAGTGTGACTAGCTTTGCAACAATGTTTCTGTTCTATAATAAATGGACATTGAGTTCAATGTATGCAAAATCACAAAGAAGGCATTTGTTAACCAATCAATTTGTTCTTTTCTGTGTTCTCATCTCACCCACAGTGGCACATTAAATTCCCCCTGGCATTTAAATTTGTCAGTGCAGTGTTTCATTTTATAAGTTTTGCTCCCTTTTGAAATTTCAGTATCTCAATCAAGTGTCATCATAGAATTATGGAAAAAATGCCTTTGAAAGACCAATTGTCAGACTTCACATACCTATATTTTCATTTCTATAGCCATTATATTAAAGTTTATTTATATATATTTTTTAGTAAAATTCCGTACTTTTGGCTTCATTCTCAAAAAATCTGTCGCTGCCACCACTGACTTTCATTTCCATTCAGACCACATTATCTCACACGTATGCCTGACTCATGCATATTCAATATACGCATTCTTGACTGGCACCTGGTGTTTAGAAATGACACACAATCATAATAATCTGTGTAGTGACACTGAATGCTTCACTGGTAAACAGTTACTACGTGGGCCTAAAAAGTTGCACTTCCTTTGCAAGCTCAAGGCTTGTATGATTGAATGAACTAAACTGTTCTTCCAAACATCACTGAAAAATCGTTATCTTTTTCAGATTATTAAATCATCACTAAAATGTTTATGCCACAGGAAACATTGCTGCAACTCAAGTGGCAGATACTGTGGATAGATGAGTCCTAGATTTTAGTATTAGGTTAGGCGTGTTTTAAAAAAATTTTTGGGCATACCCATTTGTTTCTCTGGCTATTCTGCAGTGTCTGGCATACAAAACAACTCAAAATAGTCCAGGGAGTTACAGGGGTCTTCTAAATCAGCATCTATACCAGGCTTGTCAGTAAATGGAAGATGTGGTTGTTCAGCACCTGAATTTGCCCACACTTCAGGTTGCTTGTTTCTGTTGTCACTGACATTTTCTGCTTTATCAGAGCTGACACTTTGTTCACCACCTAACAAAATTTTCACATTTGTTTTACTGTCACTACTGTATTCATTCTCTTGTAGCAATTGATAAAACACGTCCTTATCACTTGCAGTCATCTTCTTGCTAGGACCTGCCATAACAGTTAGTTGAAAGAACTCAAACCCAGAGCAGTTATCCAGCAAGCAGGAGCTTCCTGTCACACTCTGAAGTAGGAAGACCATCTTGCAAACACAACGTACAAGTTTCCATTGCTGACTGATATTATTTCTACAATGGAGTAGTTAGAAACATGCATGACACCTGTAGACGTCATAACCACTTGACTGGTTAAATATAATATATACTCACCTAATTGCCCAGTATTTTGCACATTAAAAGAGTGATGGGTCAGTTGTGAGGTATTCCCCATGTATTGTGAAAGTGATCATAAGAATGACATCTAGAGATAATGGAATTTTAAAATATTTACTGGAATTTGTTTCAGAAAATAGTATAATTCATAATTTAAAGCAGAGTTGCCCAACTGACAACATATGGGTTGCTTGTAGTTAGTATTATGCAGCCCACAAGATTATTCTTCCAGTCCCAAAAATATGAGATGTTTTCCTCATTAAAATGGTGGAAAATCTTACCATCAAGAAGGCTTAATGAAAAGTGTTTAGGTCTACTAATTAGTATGTCTCCAAAATTGTATAAGATATCATCAGGACATCCTAGCAAATTTGAATACATGTTTCTTGAATTGCATGTGGCAGATTCTTATTTATTTGTTTTTGCTTTGTAGATCTCATCATTGCAGGAAATATATTTGTATCTGTAGGGCTATATTGAAGAAATTATATTTTTTTATGATTTGGCCTACTGGCAGGTGCCTGAGGTATATTGCAGCCCTTCAGTTGTTTGAAATTGGACCTTAGTTTAATCTATCCCTTGAAATTATCAGGCATTCTTTGCACAACAGAAATAACATATAGGGATGGTCATGTCTATCCATCTGTCCAGCTGTCTGGATAGATTTTGATGAAATTTGGTATATAATGTTGTTAGATACCACTCAGTAATAGTAGTTTCTGACTTCCTAAAGTTTGTAATAACAGTTTGTCATGCACTCAAACTTGTGAAGTAGGTTTGCCACGAGCACAACTACCCAAATGTAGTAACCATGGTAAGCCACCAAAAACCATGCAGCAGGAGAGATGAGCATGAGATTCCTGGTGACTGGGTGTTCTCATATCAGTGAACATCAAGAATATGGTTTTCTGGGATGTGACGCCTTGTATTCCAGTAGAGAGTTATCAGTGTTTTCATGTAACCTGCTGCATCCATCTTCAGGGTGCGAGATGAAGACAGCATTTTTCTCTGAAATGTTGGTACCTATCTATCAAACTGCACGGTGTCACTTCTCTGAAGACCATGTTCTTCCTATGAGAATGTTATTTGTACAATTTGGGCCATAGTAATTGACTTCCCTGATGGTTTATTCCATGCTGCATAGTCAGTCAATATTTTGGTGTAGTATTGCACAAGTAAATACCATATTTGTACTCCTTATTGTTGTACAAATTTCCTGTCTTGTAAGTATAGTTAGACACAGATTTTTAGTATGATGCAGTCTGTTCGTAATGATACTGTTTGGAAGTTATTTTATTGTGAACTGAATATTTCTGTGGATGTTACCTGCAAGACACATTAGAACAATGAATGGTAATATGCCAACATCTAAAAGTACCATTAGCAGAATAGAATAACATGTAGAATGCCGTCTTTTGGGATGTGGCACCGTGTAGATATTTTGTTAACCGACGTTTCAGAGGAATGTATTGCCTCCATCTTCAGCATATAAGAAATCCAGGAGCATGAGCTGGTTCATCGCTTGTGGATTTCTTACACCCTGAAGATGGAGGCGATATGTTCCTCCGAAACATTGGTTAACATAATATCTGCACGGCACCACATCCCGGAAGACGGCATTCTTCATAGTCACTGCTGTGAAAACCTCAAATCTTACAGAATAATGTGTAATTTACATTAGATTTGATGCTATCACATCGGTGACTATGAAGAGTTAAAGTTCAACTTCTGCCAGAGTACATGACATCACATCCCAAGAGAGAGTCTTCTTTAACTTGTAAATTATTTTTATTGTTTCATAAAGTGACTGTCACTGTAGTGTGTTGCCATGTTACTGCATTTGAATGATGATAATCATTGAGCCATCAGAAGTAATCTCTACTGATTTAAGAGTAGTTGGGTCTTGAAAGAGATTTGAGAAAGTAAGGATTTCAGATGTCGGTAGTGAGAAGTTGGGAAATGTATTTATAGCATAATGATTCTGGCACATTTGCTCCCTTTTGTTTAATTGTTGCCAGAACCATCATACTTGGGGAGAGGGTATATTGCTCATAAAGGATATGTTTAATTTTGTTTTACAACTATTATATGAAACATTTTTCACTCTGATAAATATTCAGTGAGTTATGCAGAAATGCATGTAGGTCTTCATGTATAGTATATGTTGTTGCTATCCAGTTTTAACCAAAATTGGAGTATGTTGACAAATTTTAGTAAAACTTTACAGTATCCAGTTTCATGAAAATGTGGTCAGTAGTTCTCAGTTGTTACATGGGGACAGGTGGACATGCAGGTGCAGCACAGAAAATGGGTGCATTTCTGCAACAGCAACTGGATCAGTCACAAAAAAAATCAGCAGTACATAATTATGCCCTGATCGTATTCTCATATATATTACCATTCAGAACTGTTAATTGCTGCAAGACTTTAATGCTTAAGCTATGTTGTGTGATGTAGATTTTAATGAATTGTGAAACCCTTTGGTTTTTTAATTGATGTTGGTTAATACAGACATCATATCAAAGGTGGTATCAGATGTATAACATTATTACAGTAGCTAAGAAACTATAATGTACCAGTAGTTTTACAGTGAAAGCATTAGGTTTTGCAGTTGCGCAATTGTTTCAGTGCGGTGTGATAGAATGTGTTCCAAATGCCAAGTCTCGTGATCAGCTTGGGCGTCAGACAGACATTGGAATGTTTGATTACTTCATCAAGAAATATGGGGATGAGACCACCAAAGAATTCCAGGTAGGTGCATTAGTAATCATTTAACTTTATTTACTCTTACTGGTCATGCATTATTACAGCAATGCATGCACACAGCCCAACCTGCTGATTGTTGTATTTTTTCAGTGTGAATACCATTAAATTCTGGATCCCGATCCTACGTATATACGCACAGTAGGAGATTTCAAATTTTGTATTCCTTGAAAATAAAGGTTAATGGTTATTTGGGTTGGGGAGGGGGGGAAAATTAAGGAACAGTATATTATGTGGAATTCATGTCTGTCAGGCTGGATTGCCAGGGTTCGATTCCTAGCAGAGGCAAGAGATTTTTCTTTACTCCACAATGTCCAGACCAGCTCTGAGTCCCACCCAGCCTCATGTTCATTGGGTGCCAGGGCTTTATATTTTTTGTGGGGATCAAGTGGCCAGGGCATGAACCTGACCACTAACCTCCATCTAGTGCTGAGGTCAAGAATGGTGGAGTTACACCTGTTCTCCCACATACATTGTCATGATGTGATAATTAATTAAGCACAAGGACAACTTCACCTCTTTACCTTTGATCCATAATAAAGTCTAGTTTATGTGAGACCATAGTGGACTTTTTCTGTGCATCCCGTAAATCATTTCACAGATGTTGAAATTTGATATGGAGGACTTGAACTAAACATTATCAGGCAGTTCAAACTGTCAGTTTTATTGATGCATCATAAATCCTGGTTTACATAATGGACTTTTCCATGTTCCCCATAAACTGTTTTGCAGATGTGATCCCAATACACTCAGCTCCCATGACAGTACAATGAAATATGCTGCCTACATCATAATGTCAGTTTCACCACATACTGAGGTCTCAGAGGACTTGTAACAGAGTTGCACAGTTTGCAGAAGATCTCATGTCAAGATAACCCAACTTGTGAAAGGTGCCTACAAGAAAATGAATCAGCCACACACATCCTGTGTGATTGTGAGGCCATAGCTTATTTAATTTTCCATCACATGGTTCAGTTTTTTATGGAACCAAGTGACTTTTATGATGCTCTCATAAGCAGGGTCCTACACTTTATTAAAAGTGTAGGATTAATAAAGGGCGAATCCAAGGGGAAGCACAATAGATCATTGAAGGTTGCAGTGCAGGGGCCGGTTTTTATGGCCCACCCCTTACTTACATACATACATACTCATTTCAATATTTCAGAATGCCCGCCGTAACTTCATAAAATCAATGGCTGCGTATAGTGTTATTGGATTCTTGCTTCAAATAAAGGATCGCCACAATGGAAATATCATGCTGGATGTGGATGGCCATATCATACACATAGGTAAGTATTTATTTACTGTGTTTCTATGTTGTGCACAGCAAAGTCAATGTTACTTATACCTTATGTAATGTATGTGATGATCAAGAATATATAACGGGCATGGTACTTCGAAAAACTACCTATTCTGTAATAAAAGTAATAACATTTATGATTTTCTGTCTTGTCTGCAAGAATAAATGGCAGAAAAGTTAGATAAATGTTAATAATGAGGTGGTTATACTATATGAATATTATTACACAGCTGTAAGTAACTACCTGAGTACATCTGCTTTCCATTAATCTTGCTCATACCTGTTTCAGATTTTGGTTTCATGTTTGAAAGTTCCCCTGGGGGTAATCTGGGTTTTGAACCAGATATTAAACTCACAGATGAAATGGTAATGGTGATGGGTGGTAAGATGGAGGCTTCACCATTTCGCTGGTTCATGGAGCTCTGTGTACAAGCGTACCTAGCAGTAAGGTGAGTTTTTGTTAAATTGAAAACTCTTTATCTTTCATCATACATTTACAAGAAAATAAGCAACGTGGTGAAGTGCCATGACTCTAATATTGATTAACATAATGACATAGAATATTTAAAACTGAAATACAGATCTGAAAAGTCAGAAAGAACGAACACTTAATGCATGAAAATTGCAAAAAGAAAATCGCAGAAATTGATGGTCACAATGTTTTGTTGGTCTGTCTGTCATATGAATTGTCTTAGGAGCCTAGCATGCACAGGCAGCTTGAGTACAAGTTACTATTACGAGATTCCATCGTGACTTCAGTAGCATGAGATTCCCAGCAGTCTCGTCCAGAAAACAAATGTGCTATATGTGCTAATCTTGCATAATTAGGTAGAACGTCCTTATAGTGATTTTCATCACAATTGCTTATCTCCCTCCTATTCCCCATTCCCCTCCCCCCAGTGTTAAAGTGATTCTTGTGTTTGATGATATACCCATCAGCCTTCCAAGCATTTCCCACCCTCAAATTTAAACAATAGTCAGTTGAATCAATTTAGGAACATCATTGATTCCTTGTTCCTTGAGTAAAAAGTGTGGTGCCTGCAGCCACTTGCTTTGTCCTGGTGCTTTACTGACTGACTGTCCAAGTTGTGCCCATACCTGATTATGAATTTACCAGTAAATTAATTCCTTACCATAATGTGTGTTGGAACCTCAAGACAGAGAAACTCAAAAAACAGCAAGATTTTATTGTAGTATTGCTCAGAAATTCAGCAAACTGTTGACACCCATAGTCAGTCTTGTTGGAAGTTACATGCATAGACATGTTTCTACCATTACCAAATTTGTTGCCTGACCTTTGTACAGTCATCAGTTTAATTGAAATATTCCCTAGTATTAGATAATTATAATATGAAGTAAAATTCTTGGAGAGTAGAAAGAAGTTTTGAATTATTCACATTTCTGTTGGTCTTCATATAAAACTGATCATAGTTTTATTTTCAACTAAAAATGAAGCACATGTTATAAGTTCATAACAGGCATCTGAATGAAAAAGTACAGTGTTTCCCTGTGAAGAAAATGTGATTTTATGCAAAATATACATGGAATCTGAGTCTGTTGATGAACAAATGATGTGTTTTAATAGCTTGCCTAAACTATTGACAGATAGGGCTTAGAATAAATGTCCCTATTTAATTTCTTATGGCAGTGAATGTGTTAATTTGGTTGTTGCAGGCCATACCAAGAGGCAATCATTTCGTTGGTGTCATTGATGCTTGACACAGGTTTGCCCTGCTTTCGTGGACAAACCATCAAACTTCTGAGAGCAAGGTTTGCTCCCCAAGCTAGTGACAAGGAGGCTGCAGCATACATTATATCAATCATTCGAAACTCCTGCTATAATTTCCGCACACGAACATATGACATGATCCAGTATTACCAGAATCAGATTCCTTACTAAGATACAGTGTTCAGCCATGTGAAAGGTTGGACTCTTTACTACACATACTGTTAGTTTCTTAGAAAATATGAATTGTGATGAAAAATTTACTGAGTATGTATTACGAGTGTTACAGTTGAAAAGGTTAGCGAGCAGCTATAATCATGAATATTTATCCCAGTCTCTTCCCACAATCATACCTCATAGAACTTCCTAAAAGAAGTAATTTATTGTAATACCTTTTTTTTTATATACTTACAGCCAACTTTTCTTTCTTAAAAGGAAATAAAGCAGGCTTCTGAAATCATGTCCCAGCTTCTCAGCTTTTAAACCAGTTGGCCAGTTTTCACAAAACTCGGCGTGAAATTAAACCATTGAAGCTGCCTCTGTTACATACTTTTTAACCTACAAACTTATGAGGTAGGTGCATAGCTAGGCCACATAATCTGTGGTTTTGGACTGCTGTGGGGTAATGATGTTCAAAAAATATGCAACTTTTGATGAGGTAAATATACTATAAAATAATGTGGCACCTGTATGAAAATTTCTGTTAAATTTGGTTTGATGGTGATAACTAATGAATCATTAGAGGAAGGCATGTGAAATTTGGTAAGGAAATAAATCATAAACATACCTTCACATTATATATGAAATATTGTTAAATCCATAACTACAAAATAGCAATGATATGTAACTTTGAGGTTATATCTGAACAATTTAACATAAACAGAATTTGTACTTAGGTAAGAAGTTCTTTACATAATTTAAGTAGCAATAATAACAGTGATAGATCTGTATGACTGTAAATCTATGCAACAGGACAGTGAACTTTTTGAGTTCTGCTTGAACTTGCTTCAGAATATGCTGCATGTGGTTTGAAGTTTGGTCAGGAACCAACTGACTTGACCAAAACTTAGTATGTGACTAAGACTATGCCATCAAATGAAATATAGTCACTTCATGTCATGTCCCTCAGAATTCACCATATGTTATTGTCCTATAATTTCTCATTTGATTACACACACCATCTGTGTTTCAGAAAGCATCTGTTTTCAGTATGTTTAGGTTGTATCCATACTACTGAAATAAAATAAGAAGAGTATTTTGGAGGCAAGCCCTATGTAATGATAAACAAACTCATATGTGATGTAGTATTTATTTTTTGTATACACAAAACTTGATAATTATGCAGATGTTAAATTATTGTGTCAAAGTGTGGCACTTTTGGTGTTTATATGTGTCGTCATCAGGCAGTTTATCAAGGGTATGAGAACAGTTGCATTGAATTAATTCACTGGTATGTAAAAATGCAGCCACTTTCCTCGAATAAATTCTTTGAAGGAATTGCATCTGTTATGTTAGCACAAGTCATTCTCTGAAACAGGTCAGAAAGGAAGAGCATTCAAAGTTAAAAGTATGCAGTGTTATGTAATGTAAATGTAGATCTCAGGCAGATGTGCATATATCCTCAATATGAGTCAAGGCCCAGGTACTTAAAGTGTACAAAATGTATTTAAGAGGTAGTGTTAATGTCTTTTATGCTAAAATTATAGTGTACTGTTATTAGTACAGTATAAGTTTGGTGTCTTGTTTATGTAATACTATTCTTCATTTCCGTCACACCACCATAGAAACATTAGGTCTTTTGATTGTATAAAACAAGTTTTCATCCAAATTTTCTGGGTATTTTGAAGAGCATTTCTGTGGGAGGAAACCACAAATAATGTTACTGATTCTGATTGCTATGTATCATATTAATACACTTTTTTGTATATATACCTGTCATAATGTAAAGGAATAGATTACTTATTATATTGTCACCACCAAATCAGTTTCAGCTGTTATTGTTAGTGTGTGTTCAGACTTCTTGTAATAGGAAATACACTGTTGTGTTTTTTTTTTTTTTAGAAGTTATCTTGCTGTCCTAGATATTTATCATTTCTGTATCTGTTCTAGAGTATCAGTCTCCTTCTCAGTAAGAAGAAAAGTTTGAGTTTCATTGTATTTCATTCAGTTTTATATATAGAACAACAGTAAGAGCAATAATAATACTCCATGGCAGTCAGGGCGAGTGAAACTTTCTCTGGTGTGTGATATGTTTACTGTAAATGAAATGATTTGTGGATATTGTGATCAGAGCTGTAAGTATAAAAAACTGGATGAGAGGTAGATAATGAATATTTAGTTGGAAATTAAGAACCTGTAAATACAGAAGGTGAAGTAGGAGAGTAATTTCTGCAGGATGTCATATCACAGTAGATTATTTTTCACAAGTACATGCTTAACAGGTAAGCAAATTTCAGAATTTCCCCTTTAAATGAACTTTGTTATTGGTCTTCTTCCCACCACAGTATGTAAGTAGCAAATGGAGATCTATTTTACACCAGGGTGGAATTATAGTATTATTGTGTCTGTGGTTCATTATGTAGTTTTACTTCTACATTTGGTACACAGTTTCAGAGAGAGTTGTAAATATCACAGTGTAGTAGCTACCTTTCCTACTTCATATCCTGGAAGTTCCTGGTTTGATCCCAGGTGGCCATCTTTAATGTATTAATTGGTGTGTTCATCCAGAATGTTGGTACCCATTTATCAGGTTAAGATATAAGAAGACAGCATTCAATAAAACATTGTTAGATAATTCACAACACTTACTAAGAGAAAATAGACAGGTTATGATGTTTGAATTAGTGAGTATTTGTTTCGAAAATTGGTCATTCAAAATGCCAAATGCTGTTAGTATGCTAATCTGCAATGTGCATCACCACTGGAGTGAGGAGGGTTACAATGCAGTTATGTCTCTAATGGATGAAGGGATAAACTGTAAAAGTATGCATCAGAATATTTTACCTTCTGAGGTTTTCATGGCAGCAAAGATTAATATTGTACTCTTCTTTGGAAGAACATACTGATTTCATCTTCAGGGAAGAAATGAGCCAAGTTAGGAAAGTGGCTGATTATACCTTTCTATTATGTGTTATATGTGTATAAACAAGAAATGGTTATACATTGGTAACCATCTGGCAATATCGGAAGATTACTGTATGAATTATCTTTTAAGGTCTAGAAAGCATTTTAAACTTTTTAATATGAATGTGGAACTTATGAACTATTTAAATCATTACATGAATTTCGGTGGAACATACTGTTTCAGTTTGTTGTTGTGTGGTGACCAGAACTAATTCCTTGAATGGAATTGCCCCGTTTTCGTTCATGAAATGCCCCAGAAGATGAGAAAGAGGACTATTAACATGAATTCATGTTTGACTGAAAAACATGTTTAAAATGTTTATAGAATTTCAGTAGATTCAGTAGAAATATGAGTAATTTCAAACTTGAAATAAATTGTGTCTGATAGGTAGCTGTTACTGCAAAAAATGTTTGCCTGCAAATGTGACCGGTCTCTTCTTTAGACTCAGTTAACATGTGTCTCTGTGTTATGTTTAGATTGCAATACAAAGAGCCATAGGAATAATTCAGTATGTAATGAAACTGGCTGTGACATATTTGGTGAGGGTTTCTTTCCCAGTAGAAACGTTTGTCTTTATCAAGTCCAGACTACCATTAATTCACACTCATACTGCTCTCCAGTTAGCATCAGGGGCTCTTTTCTGGTGTTCACTCCATCCATATTACATAGCTGGAGTATATAACAGCATACCCCTCTGCCTAATTCTGAGGTTAAGAATGCCTTCACACTGTGATCCATAGTCACAGAGACAATTTTTTATGTTCTGAAGGAATGATAAAATAATGCATGAGCTGAAGGACATATTCAACTTTTCCATAATTTCTTACGGGGGTTGATTGCAAATATCTGATCTCCATTCCTGCATTTAAGGGACTAATACAGAACCATTCCAGTAGGCTAACAAAAAGTTAGTACATCTCATGTTTTGTTATCATTGGAAGAAGGAATACAGATATTTCTGTGTGCCTTAGTTATGATTTCAGCACGTAGAAAAACAGTTAATAAGTTTCTGACACAGTAGTTGGCATAAAAGTATTTTTTTATTTTTGCCCAGAGACATTACTTATTAACATAGTAATTCCAAGACAAATTAGAAACCCATTGTCTTTATTATATATTCATGATTCTACAAGCAGTAACATTGCTGATGACCAATTTCATTAGTTTATAGTGTTCATCAAATATGAACTGCAGTTATTATTAGAAAGTTGAAAAGAACTATAATTTTAAAGCATTGTGAGTATTTCAGAATCTCGCAGTTATAATGAATGCATCACTTTGATTTGTTAGTTTTATTGTATTATACTTTTTGAGTTGTTACATAATCTTGTAAGGTTCCAACATATTTGATGCATTTAAATTTGTCCCCATGTATCACATTCTGCAGACTGGATCAGGCCACAGTTTTTCAAGTTTAGGAATCACTGGTTCATGCATTTTCTCAGTGGCAATAGGAAATGAGAATAATTTCTGTAAGTTTGTTTAATTGTGAAGAACATGACCAGTAAATGGATCTAGGTACCTAAAAATCATTTAAGATATTCTGATTCACATTGTTAAAATGTTGTTACATTATTTGATTATGAATGGTGTAATTTAAGTAAATGTTATTTTTTGAAACAGCTACAATTTTATATTTATTATTGCAATTTATGAACCCTTTTTTCCCAGAAGAACAAGAGTGAAAATACTTACTTTGTTACAGACTACTATGTCCTATCATAGGCATCTGCCAACATCTTTGCAGTAGAAGGTGTGTTGAATGAAAATGGAATGCATTTTATGTCCAGTACTCTCTTTCTCTACATCTTATTGTTTTGAGGTAATTAAATAAAAGGGCATGGTGCATATATTATGTAGCATGTATATTTAACATTCAGTAATACTGTCCCAAATACATGCACAGATTACTGAACTATCAGCTGTGATTTTTAAAACACATGCAAAGACAGATGAAGTCTCTTATTTTCAATTATAACTAAATTGTCTACATGTATTATAAATATATATGTAATTAAATGTGATTGGTCATGCTGCCAAAGCCTTTTATTCTCGGTCATAATAGGTCAGTTCTTAGGAAAACAGATTCTTTAGTTATTTCAGCAAATAGTTGCAATTAAGAAGAAACTAAAAGAAATTCTTTATTGAGTGTAAACTGCACTGAAATCACACTTTCTTCTTTCCTTTTATAGTTCTGTATTTCAATACAACTTTGAAGATAGTATAGTATAGTAAACAAGTTATGTATATTTAATTATCTTTTGTTGTGTGTAATAATTGAACAGTGAAACACTGATTCTGATCCTTTAATAATTCAGTACAAAATTTTTACTTTTTGCCAATTTCAATAAGTATCACGTAACAGTTAATAGGTTTATGTGAATTTAAGGTTTGTACTGAAATATTGTCCGGTGATCTTCCATGTCAGTTTTGAATCAAAAACTTGTGTTTCAGAGATTTTTCTTCTCCATCATCAGGTGCAATATGACATTGACATCAGCTGTGTCAGTTCTGAATTAAAAACCTTTGTTTCAGAGATGTCCATCAACAGGGGCAACATGACATTGACATCAGCTGTGTCAGTTCTGAATTAAAAACCTTTGTTTCAGAGATGTCCATCAACAGGGGCAACATGACATTGACATCAGCTGTGTCACTGCTGAATTAAAAACATGTGTTTCAGAAATCTTCATCTCCATCATCGGGGTCAATCCGTCAAAGACGGAAACAGCAGATAGCTCTGAAACATTTGTTTTAACTCAACATTGACATGGTTGATCACCTGTAAAGATTTTATTACATTTGCTTGCCAGGAAACCTACAAATGTTATATAATTTGTTTATTATAAGGGAAGTGTTCATTGTACACTTAATTATTCTGTTTATGAGAAATAGAATGCTTACAGAATTACAGAATATCACTTCCAGTCCTCAGATTAGCTACATATTGTATGGATCTTTGCATAATGCTGTTACCTAATCCTAGACACTGTCACTGATAAGACATTATGTGTGTATTGCTTGCTGTTAGTGAAAACAAACAAGGCAAGACTAATTTAAACACTTTTAACATGAGAGGCAGATACTGCATTCAGCAGAGACTGTCTGTAAACTGGATAATATGACAACAGGTACAACGTAGCTGTAGCTAAATGGAATGTTGTAGATCTGAAGGCATTCTTTTAATTCTAATAGGTAAGGGAAGGGAAGTTAAGGTAAAGCTATCCCTGTAGCAGGCTGTGAAGGCCCATAGAGTTATGAGACAATGAGGCTCCCACATTTTGTAGACGGTTGGCTCACAGATGGTGGTGAGTTTGTCAGCCTTACACCCTGGCCGCCCCTCACCCCCCAGGAAGATATCTGGTACTCATTTCTGTTAGAGGCTGAGTCAACCCCAGTCAGCACTGTTTCATAACACAAGGCCGAAATATTAATTTCAGTTCCGATTTCAGAAGTGTCTGTTGAAGACCGTGAAGGCCCATAGGGTTGTGAGACGTTGAGGGTCCCACATTATCTAGACAATGGGCTCATAGATGGCGGTAAGGTTGTCAGCCTTTACTCCCCAGGAAAATTATTTAATTAATTCCTGGTACTAATTTCTGTTAAAGGCTGAGTGAACCCCAGGGCCATAGTGCGGCTGGAAGGATTAGGTCAATTGAAAAAAATCCAATTACCTCATC